AATAACCAACAGCAACATTATTCGCATTCCATTATCTATGTAAACTACGATTACATAAGATGCAACGGTTATATGATCCGAAAATCAAACACATTTTACGCTCATTCATATTACGCGTAGAAATTTTTGAGAGCACACTCCAAAATGAAGATGTAAATTAGGTTACAACGTTCCTTTTTTTACTTGAATAAAGGTGAAATTCTTTTAACACTATTATGAAGCATAATTGACAAAACGGTACTGGAGTTAATCTTATTTGTTGTATGTATATATCGCTACGTCAAGGTTAAATTTAGCGACACACCCGTTAGTTGATTCAATGCATAGCAACATTTGTATTCAATTCGTCTTGAATATTTGAATTATGTTTGCGAGGTTTCAATTTTCCCCGATCGTGTAATTACATTACATCGGTAAATTGCATTTCTCATTGTCAATCGATCATGAAAAGAAGATTTAACTAAATAGGATCGCTGTAAACTCTCTCGGGATTCTTTGGTAGCTAGCAACCTTGTGGTGAATGTAGAAAAACAAGGTACATCTTACAAACACAACCCTTTACGTTGCGAATTGCGATTATTTAGATTAAGAACAACACCTATGTTCATTCGCTCTTGTATTCGAACTTATTTTCAACATTAAAGATCGTCTTCTTTCTCCTACGTGTTCATATTGTCTGTGAGCACTATAATAACATTATATTTTATTTCGAATAAATCAGGTTTTGTGTTTGTTTTTCCTCCAAAAATGATGTATGCATATGTTCTATAGAGAGCGTGTTGGTCTGGAATGTTGTACACTACTTTCCAGATTTTAGACAATAAAACAGGCCAAATTAAGCAATATAATAATAGAATAGATGTTGAAGTCAGTAATGTTCTTTTTAATCTAAGAGTGCCATAAAAGCATTTGATACAAGACACTCGAATAGCAAAAATACCTGTGTTATAAATACAGACAATTTTATGTAATGTAATCAGACACGGGTGTTATAACCATACTTGTGAATTCTACAAAAGTAGGTCTGATACACGAATAAGTTAATCAATGTTTCAAATTAAATTGCATTCATTACATTATCAATTATAAGAAAATACTCATTACGAAATATGCGAATGAGGACAGATCTAACTTAGAACTCATCAATATATAACACAACAATAAATATATTTAATATATTCTGACACTGTAAGATAGCATACCCTTGTAAACAGAATGTTATCCCCTTACTGTACATTTCATTCTCCACGCGAAACAACTTCAAATACAACATATGATCACTAAGCCAATGATTACAATATACAAGGAATAATTCACATCAATTACATTTAATCCACGTAAATTACAAACAACAATGATTACAATAATAACAATAATAACTTTCCACAGTGCCATATTGGATTCAGAATTGATTCTACTCATGAAATAAGGCACTGAGTGCCCTTCATTATTCAATTTGTTATAATACAATAACTGCAGAGAGAGATATATACTAATATACAGTGTGTTTGTGACTGTCTACAAGATTACTGAATAGCCATGTTCCCACACAATATTAGTTTTGTTAACTGATTTCATACTACATGCAGAAACAACCTGATGTGTTGGCACACATGTATGCACGATGGCATACACAGTGGTAAGACTCCGCAAATCTATTAATTGATGATATATAAGTAGGGGGTCATGAGTTAAACCTTTAAAAAAGAGAAATTGATTACTGCTACCGTGAAAATAATAACACCGTAGTACGGTGCCCCTCCGTGTTGGTAGCAACTATCGGAAGACTTACATTCTAATACATTATAATATCGACATTTTCAAATTTTTAAGAGATTGGTTTTATGGAAGACGTTTTGAATTACAGAAAAACTGTTTCGGTTCACTGGACCAGCATTTTTTGGTCGTTCATGTATCCTACATTAAGTAGTTCTTTTTGCAAATTATTAATCGGATTAGTTTATTCACAGGCTTAATCACTCAAATCAGTGGAAGTCAAAGTATTTAGGCTGAATATGTGTCAGTGATCTGATAAATTAAAGACATGTTGTAATTCATAATCCTGTAACATAAATTCCAATAAATAGTATGACTGAACTGCTCTGATTGTACAAACAAAACTGACTTGTTTATGTTGTTCGCTAGCGCAATGCGTGTAGTTGTTTTGCTTTCATCTCGACTCATGAAAATATATACATTGATATAGTTACATTTTTAGTAAATTATATTGTAATATATTAACCTTTATTAAACCACTTGGAGAAAATCAAAAGGGAAATCATAATATTCAGAAATCAGTAATACTCTGACAGTTTTTTCATATAAAATACATACATCATACGAGAGCTATGTATGTCACTTATGAAATAAGTTTAATATAACTCAATGTTGTTGCCCCGGAAGAATAGTTAGACCGTGGGTAACCATCATCACAAAATGAGAAATTTCCGTTCTTGTTTCCGTGGTTACCTAATCTTGATTTTTTGCGTGTGCTACTTACTCGATGAAGCCAACTATAAGGTATTTAAATGGTCATTTGATATCCTCTGTTGCATTCCACATCATAGAATACCCCTTAATAATCAGTAAATGAAAGAAAATAGTATTTGCATGAAAGTAGATGCATCTTTAAAAGATTCCTTTTCATTTACGTGATGTGAAGTGTGAAAGTCGCAAAAATACAAAGCGAAGCTCGTGGTGATGGTCGCTAAATATGTCGATAGTAAGTAGTCTAGGCGTACATCGTCATGGAAACGAGACGTACTGTTTTGTAAATGTTTCGTAGATGGAGGCCCTGCAATGAAAAGTGTCGAGTTGCTTTGTGTTGTACTGTGTTGCGAGTTGGTGATCTGGCATGCAGTACGATGCTGTCGCTATTATACGTTGCTAGGTGATGTTTTGTTGAAAGTCGTTTTTGTGATAAATCATTGAAAATCCTTCCTACATCACCTCGCCTTACTGTCACAAATGTCAGAGAGTGACAGAAGTGTGAATTGTGATTTACTCGGATAAACTCAGTAAACGTACACCCTGTTGTATGTGGTCATAAATAGTACATTTCGGTAAATCGAACATTTCAAAACTCAAGTTCAAGACAACATTGAATTAAGTAGATTGCATATCCCCATTTTTTTTTTTTTAAATATGGTATCGCGCATTTCATCGAATATGTTTTGTATTTTC